GAGCAGAGTCGAAAGGTGACATGACAAGTCAAATACAGAATCATGGGTGAGACAGTGGAACAATGGAACTCTGGAAAGCTGTATCATCTAACACAGGAGGCCAGAACATTTTTACCCCGGCTTCTTGAATGCACTGAGCTCGTTCCCCCCGCCCCAGGACTATTCCGTCTACTGTTCCCTCTGCCTGGTACACCCCCCTCCCTACCTCCTTCTTTCTTCTCCACGCTCAATCCTACTCATCCTTTAGATCTGAGGGTAACTATCATTTCCTCCAAGAGGTCTGCCTTCGCCCTTCAATTTACGTTAGATTTCACTGCTATATTCTCATAGCATTCAATTATTTTTCTTCATAGCACTTATCACAGTTGATAATGATATATTTATTTATGTAACTATTTGTTTAACATCTGTCTCTTCCATCAGACTGCATAAATTCCATGAGATCAGGGACTACATCTATCTTTAGTGTCTCTCAATAAGTGTTCGCTGAATGATAAATGAAATGAATGAGTGACAGCAAAGAGAAAAAACAATATATAGACACACACACACACCACACAAACACACCCACATGCATTAGAAACATATCAATAATGAGAGAAGGATGAAGATCTGGTGAAAGACACATTGGCTAAATGAGTTTCACAGCCATTTCTGCCACTACCTAGTCATGAGACCACACCCAAAACCCATTTTGTTAGAATAACTGTCTTTTCTTCTCTGACTTCACAGCCTTGGTTTCAAAATTCCTCATTTATAAAACTGGGATAATGAAACCTGCCCTACCTAACTCCAAAATTTGGAAAAGTACATTGAAATTTAATATACTGTTATGTAGGTAAAGTAAGACATACAAAAACATTAATCCATAGCAGCAGTGTAGAGATACTGCACCTACATTCTATCGGTAATTGCCAAATAAATTTTTTTTTTTTTTGTATCTATTTCAAAGGATACTTACTCATTATGGTTATTGGTCAAAATTAAAAAAAAAAAAATTAAGACCAGAGGTAAAGTCACATTGTTTGATTACCAGGGTGAATATAAGGTATTGGCTGACTGTCAAAAATACTAGTGAAAATTCATCCCCTTTTTATTTGCTCAAAAGCACTAATGGCTTTAATAAAAGCAGAACATGTCATTTAAGAGGAATAGATAATTAGCCTTGACAAGAAGTGAGCCCAGAAGCCTTATGAATGAGTTAGCTAATTCCAGCTATGGACACTGAGCATTTGGTCTTTCATTTGACATCCAAATGAGAATTCAGTAACAGGTGGAGACACTGGAGTGACTGAAGTCAGCGGGATTGTCTGTGAAGGGCTTAGGTTAGAAATACCAGATGGTTTGGATAATGTTGTTATATCAATAATGGTCTTAGACAAGACACAATGGTGCCAAGCAAAAAAAAAAAAAAAAAAGTGGATGAAAAGGAAAAGTCACATTCATTTCTCTTAAACTTTAGGCAACGTTTGTGTTTTGTTAATGGGATGTTAAACCACATGGGAAGGTATCACAGGGTAAGCAGCCTGGGGTGTCTGGGAATATTATAAGCTTATCAATCATTTTTCAATGTAAAAATATTTATTAAGCACCTACTGTGTGTTCTAGCCTTTATGTGGGAAAACAAAGACACGTAATACACAAACACTGCCTTTGAAGAGTTAGCAACCATGTTATGAAGACAAGATATACGCAAAGGAAAGATGTGTAATGTTTCAGCCCCACTGCACTGGGGATGCCGCAGATCACACATGGTAGGAGTCATCTGAACACACTGGGCAATGGGGTCAGATCTTTTTGGGTAAGTGCAGTCACTGTCGCAACTGACTGGAACTTGAGTGATAGGTAAGAATTTGACAGGTAGGAGAAGGTAAACAGGCATGCACAATGAACCAGAAGTTGGAATGAACATGCTGTGCTCTCACAGTGAATGAAACAACCAGGCCAGAGGAGGCGATCAGAGAAAGGGAGGAAAGAAGAGCAAGAAAACATTAATTCTTTGTATTTGTATAGAATTTTAGTGTGTAAAAAACACATGTCCAACTTGTATCACTTATGATTCACACTCACACACACAAAGAGACATCTCAGTGAGGTAGGCAGTCTGGGTGTTTTTTCCAGAGATTAAACGAGCTTGTTCAAGGTCACACAACTGGAAAGTGGCAGAGCTGCATGTAGCTTGGGTCTGTGATTCCTGTCCCAGAGTGCTTTCCTCTGCATGAGCTCAAAGGTAGGTTGAGACGTGATGGTAAGGCCTTTTCATGCCAGGTTAAGGAATCTGCCCTTTATTCTGTCCAGAGATATAGAAGTAGACAACGTACCTAACTTAGCAAAAAGGGAAGAAAGCAGAATCTGCCACAAACCGACAGCAAACATATCATTATTGACCTTGGACAAAACTCTAGAATGGGTTTTTTTGAAGGATGGTTTCTGAATACTTGGAAGAACCCTTCCCAGCATGGGTTCACCAAAAAGCCAGTTGTGTTGAAATAACTCCTTTCCTTCTCTAATAGGTGTACCAGACTTATAGAAAAATATAGTTTGTACATCAGCAAGGCATTTGCTTCATATACCTCTGGGGAGAAAATGGACAATTATGGAATGGATGGTGGATTAGTTTGCATTAAATTTTAAAGTTAAAGAAGATATTAGAACTCATCTAGCTCTGCTCCATCATTTTACAAATGAGAAAAACAAAATAAGAGGTACTGACTTGCTTAAGGTTACATCATCATCATCATAAAAATAGTTTACACATATCAAACAGTTACTATGTATCTGGCACATTCTAAGTGATTAACGTGTTGACTCATTTAATCCTCACAATAAACCTATGAGTTCACCAAGGCCCAGGGAGGTACAGTAACTTGCCAATATCACAAGGCTGTAAGCAGTGGGACTGGGATTTGCACCCAGTGAGGCTGGCTCCTGAGTTGGTGCTTTCTCTATAGATACAGCCTCTCCAGGCCATGTAACTAGTCAGTGGCAGAGCAAAGTACCAAAGGCGCTAATGAATAGAGTTTCTAGTGGTATGCTATAAGACATCTTGCTATGTCCTTTTCAACATTTTTATCAGTGACTTGGATAAACTATGGACAGCAGTTCATCAGATTTGCAGAAGTCATGAAATGGAGGGAAGAATCAGAAATACACTGGATGACATAAGCAAGATCCCAAAAGATCTGGGATGATGAATGAATTAAAAAAGTTTTCATTTCAGAGGAATAGAAGAAGACATTGCATATCGGTCCCCAAAGCGTTTGGCCAAGAATGGGATGAGGAATGTGTATAATAAGGAACACAACTGGATGGGGCTTTGTCAAGTTAGTCACACGAATTAACATGTAGGGTTGCCCAAAAGCTAATGCAAGCGAGTGAACGGCCCTCCTGCGCTGGTCCTGTCCACCCCCGACACTCTGAGAACTCAGCAACCAGCCCAGGGAACCCTGGGTGCTCCAAGGTCCTTCACAGCAACAGCCTGGGCCTTTCTTCCTCCTTCTTGACCTGTTCTTGCTCTGGCCCCCACGCTGGTCCCCTCCTACTTTGTCCTCCTGACCTTGCTCCTGCTTCTGGCCCTTTCTTCTTAGTTTTTGTCTGGGTTTTCCCAGTATTGAATCTTGACTTTTCCTGTGGGGCCCTGATTTGACTTGCTTCTCTGGCTCTCTGTGTCCCATGCAGCACTGGGAGGGGCTCCAGCCCCTCAGAGCTCAGTCCATGACACTGAGCCTTGGTGGGTGTGCTAACAGCACCTTTATCACCCTGCTAACACAGACACTGTGAGGAGAAGATTTGCCCCATGTCTGGAGTGTTACATCCAGGTCTGCCATCCCCCTACCCCACCATGTGGATGTTTAGGTAAATTGAAGGGCGTTTGTAGGAAAAGGGTAGGTTGAGAATAGACTTGAATATTGTGTGATACACGGAATGAGTGAAGCTGTGATGGCACTGGAGATCTGTCTCGGGATTTGCAGAAGACCTCACTACGAAAGATTCCACGGGCTTCCCTTATTTGATTCCGGGAGGTAGTTTAGACCAGTGGGCAGAAGCTTTAGGGAGAAAAGGCAGATTTGAGCTCCATAAAGAAATAATCTCATGGTAACAGCTGTTCGGAGAGGGAATGGGATAGTTGTGGGCTCCCCCTTACTGGAGGTGTTGAGGTATAGGCTGAGTGGTGGTTTGTCAGGAAAGCAGTATAACAGATACAAACATCAGGGGGTGCTTAGACTATTTCATCTGTGGGCTGGTTTCACCCAAAAGAGTCTACGTGTCAGTGAAGAACCAGTGGTGCCTTTTAACACAACAACAATGGTGTATAAGGTGGATGTGTCCTTCCAGGGAAACATCAGAGAATGACCACTACGTCGAGCCAACACCTCCCTACCTTTAAGCTTCCCATGTGAGTGAGCGCTGGCTCCCAACTGCACTTGTCTGGGCTTCATTGTTAGGGCACAGACAAACGCTTCCAGCCACCAAGGCAGAGAGGCCCCCAAATGTAAGGGCCATTCTGTTTTGGTTTTCCATAGCTGGGGATTGGTCTCACGCTTCTGTAATCTCTTGCTTATGAAAGGGCTCTGTTCTCTCTTGGTACCCACCCCCACCCCTTTCACAGATCAAATACCAAGTGCATTGGACAGATAGAAGCCAGAGTGAGAAAATGCGTTTTAATAAAACCCCATTGATTTTTGTGGGTGGGAGTCAAGGAAAAGGCACCTAAAGACACTTCCATCCCCTGCCACCTCCCCCCCCATCCTGACCTACTCCGGGGCGGCGGTCATACATCGATTGGCTTCCTAGATAATAGATTGTGCCACTGGTAGGGACCTCCGGGGACCAGCCCGGAGCTGGAAGAGTTGCACGTCTCCAGCCCAGCCCTGAGTTAATCAAACTAGCAACAGGATCTCTAGCGGCAGCGGTGGCGGTGGCGGCAGCAGCATTATGCGTGATTACTGACAGGCACCAGCTGCTGCTGCCACAGCCGACTCGAACGCACTATGTGGACTCTCAGATCGAGAGGCAGATTCCTGACTAATCCCAGAGGGCTGGCCCAGCCTCTGCTCCCGGGGCTGCTAGGAAGCGATGACCACTCTTGTTAGCCCAAGTTGAAGAGAGTCCAGCTTTGCCTGGGAGCGGGGAGAGGCTGTGATATTTACAAGACAGACAAGAGAGAAATATGAACTGAAGAGGAAACATGTATGGAAATTATTCTCACTTCATGAAGTTTCCCACCGGCTTTGGCGGTAAGTATCTCACTTGGGCCTCACTGTGTGGACCTGTCTGCAAAGACGGAGAGGAAATTGGATAACTGGATTAGTACTGAATGAAAAGGAGAGCATATTTGTTTATCTGCATATATGCTGCTTCTCTGTGTGAGAGTCTGGGTCTAGGCATGAGAGAGGGAGAGACGGGGCAGGAGACAATGTTCCGTAGGTGAGGCTGTGTTTGCATAGCAGGGCGAGTGAACAGAAAAGGGGATATTCGAAGGAGAGTGCTTAAGCCAACACATGCGGAAATGTCTGAGACAAAGATAGACTAAGAACGTTGTTATAACCCAACGTGTTGGTGTGAGCATGAAGAGTGGCGGAGTTAAAGAGAAATTACTATGCTATACCTATTATTCAACTTGTAATGAAAAAAATGTGGTTAGAAAGATTTTATCTATGTGAAGCGTCCCTGGGATACTTGGTAACAAGGGCATGTTTTTGCTTTTAATTTAAAAGCAGCTTTCCATGTAATTGGATTTTTAAAAAGAAAACAGAGCACTTTAATTTGCCACGGGGATTTTCCTTCCTCTGTTTCCTTCCTTTTGATTTGCTGGTAGCCTCTTCTCCCCTCCTCTGCTGCTGACCCCAATTCCAATGCAAGGGTTGCTGCTATCTTTTCCATTCTGGGGTTGGGATCTGGGTGGACAGGGGTCTGGGGTCTTATAACAGAGAACTGGCAAATGGAAGATCCAAGCGGCCAAACCAGGCAGACCAGTCCAGTCACACTTCAGAGAGGCTTCCAGTTCTGAAGACTGGGTCCTCAGACTGCCTTAACGCCCAGGCGCGTCAGTCCAGAGGATCCCTCCATTCAGTGATAGGGATGGTGCAAGCAGTTATCCAGCTCTGAGTAAATGGGACAAACAGCTGACCAACTGGCCTCTCACTTGTCAGCTGGAGGCATGTAGCTGGTGTTCTTGGGAGCCAAAGGGCAGCTTTTGCCCTGTGGATGCTGGCAGGCAGGACAAAGCAGAAATTCTTGTAAGGTCTTGAGAACTGCAGAGTCTCTGCTCCTCTGACCTCCTCAGCAGACAGATAGCCAATTCATCTGAAGGCTTGGGAGTGAAGGCTGCCCTCTAAGCCGGGCAGAACACTTGCAGGCATGGCAGAACACTGCAAGGTGAACGTGGCCTCTGCCCAGAGGCTTCTGGCCGGGTTGTTTGCTCATTCATTGGGTAGTTTTTATGAGCCAAGCATGGTGCTAAATGCTAGAAATACAATATGAATGAGAGACAGTCCCTGCTCTGGACTGGGGCAGGTTTGTTAAATACATTTTAATACTGTGCAGTGTGTGCTATATGGGAGGCGTGAGGAGGGAGCTACCTGGACGCACGGGAGGGGCCGCATAGGAAGGCTTCTGGAACAGGTAATGTTTAAGTTATTTGGGCCAGCCTGGTGAGATGGCTGAAGGAGAGTGGTGGTCAGTGATGTAACCTGGACATTTGATCTCCAGTTCCTAATTGGACCCTGTGTGTGAAAAGCCTTCTCATCTCCCATCTCTGCCCCATTCACAGAGCTGACAATCACTTTTCTTTTCCTTCTGAGTTCAGTTGACCCAGAAACATGCTTATCCTCAGCCAGAGTCTCTGGACCCCCGAGCTCTTTGAGGATATGGCTTCATTAACACTGAGGAGACCCTTTGAGTCAAGGATGAAGGTATATTTCGGGAGAGAGATAAGATATAGACTGGAGAAAGGATACAGTCTAAAATTCTACAGGGGCTGCCTACTGGAATCTTGGAATGTTAGCACCCTACGGGACCTTAAGGAGCATCTTAGAACTCTTGTTTTACAGATGTGTAAACTGAGGCTTAATGGAAGGCAGGGACTAGTCCAAGGATACGTGGATTGAGGGATAGATCTTTCCCAGAGAAGCCCCCGACTCAGATTTATGATACCAAAACCAAAAAACCCATTGCCGTCAAGTAGATACTGACTCGTAGCAACCCTATGGGACAGGATAGAACTACCCCATAGAGTTTCCAAGGAGAGGCTGGTGGATTTGAACTGCTAACCTTTTGGTTAGCAGCCGAGCTCTTAAACACTGTGCCACCAGGGCTCCAGATGTTTGATAGTATTGCTTTACTCTGATAGTGAAAAAAGCATATGAGAGAAAGAGAGGGAGAAACAGAGACAGACAAAGATGGAACAAGTCAGCTGAGTTTGGTTGAGCTGAGCCAACTGTGTGACCTTAGGCAACATACTGAACCTCTCTGAGCCAAGCCTCAGTTTTTTATCTCTAAAATGGGGTGTATAATCTCATCTTAGATAATGATTGAGAATTAAATGACTAGCCCATGAAAAAGCAGCTACTATACTGTTGTCTATCTACTGTACTAGGGTTTCATAAAAGCTAAGATTTTCATCCCTCCATTTTGCTCATATACTAACATGCAAATTAATTAAAAATCAGACATAACTGTAGAATACAGACATTTCTGTAGAATCATGAACTAGGAATCTGGGAAAATAAAATTAAATCCACTCTCTCTGGCTTAAGTTTCCATAATTGTGGGAGCCCGGTATTTAGTGTAATTAGGTTTCAGATGGAAGGAAACGTGCCTGTGCAGCCGCGGAAGAACATAGGCCATGTAACACTGGGAACGGAGAGGAAAGGGTTAATCTAGGTTGTTGAAACGTCTCCCTGGAATGTTACTTTTCCTTGTCGTTCCTGAGGGAAGAAAACAATTATTTTGTTTAGTTCTATTGATGTTTTCCATTTTGTTTGTGTGCGCCAGTTAAGAGGAGGCTTAAACGCAGCCAAAAGACTCCGCCTCCCCCTGCAGGGAAGCTTGTCTGTCCAGGACCGGAGAACTTGCAGTGATGAGGGGGGAGGGCAGGGGCAGGAGGGCCCACCTGCAGGCGGAAATCTGAGGATTGGAGGGCAGGTGACCTGCAGCTTCCACTTGCCTTTGCCCCAGTACAGCAAATTATGCAGCACTTGTTAAATGATTTGGTGTAGAACCCCCTCCCCTTTTATATCTCAGCAAATGGAACCATAGAGAGCTCCTGTGATTTGCGTGACCATCTCCAGGGGAACCAGCATCACCCTTTGGAAGTAATACCCGGGGTTTGTGTCTGGGGCTGTGCTTACCAGATATAAGACTATAGATCTAGTCAGTGGACAAGAAACTGGTCAAATTGGCCAAAGGGTGGTGACTACCCTGGGTGGCCGTGCCCCACCCCCAAAGGCACCCACTCTCCCAGCTCTGGGCCCTGCCATGAATCTGTGATGACGAGATAACCCTTCTCTTCTCATTCTTTTGCCAAGTCCTGGGTTTGCCAGATGCTCAGTTATTTGTTTTCCTGGGATGAGACCATTGCTGCCTCTAAGAAGATGGCAGAGCAAAGCCTGTAACCCCCCATCCAATTGTGCAGTAATCCTCAGGGTGAGAAGGAGATCAGGGAGAGAGAGGACTTCTCTTATTTCATGCAACAAACACGCTGCGACACTTACTAAGGGCCAGCTACCATTGTAAGCACTTTACCAATCTCAGCTCATTTAACCTTCTCAATGTTACCGCAATAACTCAGACTGGAGCCGCCTGCCACAATAGCCAATTCTGAGACAGGGGTGAGGGGAGCAGCAAGATGTTTATTATATATCGATATATAGGAGACGGAGGGGAATAGATTCCTCCAAAACACCCGTCTCCGCTACTGGAGATCGGCTGGAGTATTTTATAGGGACAGGATTATGGATCTTTTGTGGTAGTTTCCCCTTGAGGTGATGATGTCTTAGATGAGTTAACCTTCTACTGGTATTCTACTGGTGACATCTTTGGGGATTATCTGGCGACATCCTGCTTTTTCTTGTCACAAGATTGGTGTTTTGTTTGGTTTTTCATTCTTAGATCATTATCACTTGTTTTCCACCCTCCAGGGAGGAACATCAGTCAATCTTAAACCTTTTTGTAGAGACTAGAATGGGAGGGAAAAATCACGAGACAACGTGGCGGTTAGCAATGGGGAGTAAATAATAGTGAGCTGGGCCGATGCAGCCTCTTCCACTAACAATCCTCTGAGTAGGTTCTATCACCACCATCCTCACACTCCTTTATAGATGAGAGAACTGAAGCACTGAGAGGTGAAGTGACTTGTTCCAGGTCCCATAGTGAGAAAATGGCACAGCCAAGAATTTAAATCCAGGCAGTCTAGCTCTAGAGTCCATCTTCTGCTGAGCTGCCTCTCATGGCTTCTACAGGTGACAGATTTGCTCTGTGAAGCTGTGGGGCAGCAGCACCCCCTTCCACCCTAAGAGGGTGAGGAGCCTCAACCCAGCTTCTGAAATCCTGCCTCAGGGCTGTAGACACAATGGCCTGGGCATTGAGGAATAAAACACAAGCTAGTTTAGGAGCTACTGAGGAGCAACAGTGACCTCTGGAGAATTAATTGGTGGCTTCTCCTGGGACCTACTGATCTGCAAGAGTCCTGCCCCACAGACCCTGAGCATTTGTGTAGAACACTCCCCTGTTCATCTAAGAATGGCCGTAGAAGAGGGGTTGAGTTAGAGGTGCTTGTGTGTGTGTGTGTGTGTGTGTGTGTGTGTGTACTGTATTTTTACACAAATAACATGTTCTGTTTGTTTGCCAACCATGGTCTCCCCCCACCAGAAGTATTTTCATAGGCACCTCTATGCCAGTTTTCTTTTTTACATGTTGCTATAAAAAAATTAGCGTAGTGAGCTTATGAAAATACCTCACCGGGGGAGGGTGCGGTTGGCAAACAAAGGTGCAAGGCATGCGTTATTTGCATAAAAATATGAATATGTGGGAGGAAGGTGTGTGTGTATGGGAGTGTATGTGTGTTTGGATGTGTGTGTATATCAAAGGATGGTGGGCGGAGTGTATGCGTGTGAGTGTTCATGGGAGTATGTGTGTGAGTGTGTTTGTGGGGTATGTGTGTGCATTTTTGTGTTTGAGTGGGAGGAGAGTGTGTGTGTGAATATGTGGGTGTATTTATGGGGTGTGGGTGTGGATA